AAGTACCCTAGGATACGCTTCGACGCCTTCCAGGGCTCGGCTGAGTAGTTGGAGTCGAATTGACTCAGGAAATTCACTGCGAACGCGATATCTGGTCGCGTAGAAACTGCAAGAAACATAAGAGAACCAATTAAGCTTTGATAAGGATACCGTTTCATCTCCTCCTCGTCTGGGTTCTCTGGTCGCTTCAGTGCTGATTTGGACCCGATCGGGGTGATAGCCAGCTTGCAGTCTTCCATTCTGTATTTTCGAAGGATAGCGTCGATGTACTTCTCTTGGCTCATGAAGACTGTCTGCTGCCTTGCATTCTGTTTGAACTCGATGCCCAAGCATGTTTTGACTGGTCCAAAATCCTTCATCTTGAATGATGCTCCCAAGTGAGCTTTGGTTTCAAGCAGTCAATTAGGATAATTTGACGCCAAAAGCAAATCATCAACATATATGGTGACCAGTAGAAACTTTCCGTCTGCTTGCTTGACAAACAGGCATGGATCTTGCTCAGTTGGGTGGAGTCCGATTTCCTTAAGCTTCTCTGTAAGCTTGCAATACCAACGAAGTCCTAATTGACGAAGTCCGTAGAGTGCCTTTCGTAGTAAACAAACAAGATCACTCATTTGTTTTAAGGATTTTCTCCAAAAACATGCTGCCTTTCTAAATTCTGTCGATGCTAGCTCCTGCTTCGATCCGATTTTCGCGTCTGATTCCAGCTGCTCCATGAACTCGTTGAAACCCTCAGGTATATCCATGAATACCTGCTCCTCTAGCTCACCGTTGAGGTAGGCAGTGACGACGTCCATTTGGTGAATTTCCATCTGAAATTCTGCTGATAGAGCAACCAATGATGGCAGCAGCAGGCGACGTGGATGCCTGATCGGTGTAGACAGGCTGCTGAACCGGGAGCATGGTGGCTTCGCCCCGTCCGAGAATGGGGACCGGTGCAACAACTTCAGCAGAGACTGCAGCGTCCAACGTGGACGCCTGGACAACGTTGACTGGCTGCTGATCCAACGGCCTGACAAGATCTTCAAACATAGAAGTTGGGAACGATGCAGCATCATCACCAGAGCCGTTGTCCACGGCTGCAGGCTTGGCACGTGGGGTGAACTGCATAAGGGGGCATTCAGGGTCTGGAAGAGATAATAACTTATCAGACAGGTTGCTCCTGTTTTTGTTTGCGGGGTCACTTAGCAGTTTTAGCGACTTAAAGTGGTGTTCCGCCTTCTGTAACCGAGTTGACAACTCCTTAAAGCCGGCCGCCAACGACTGAAACTGCAGGTGAGTTTGCCTCATGAAAACCCGCATATCGGATTTGATATGCAGGCAGCTCGGGCACGTCCAGTCCAATCCAGCATTTTCTCGAATGCGATCAGAGATACGCGATCCACTTTGTCCCAGATCGGCACATCCAACGTGGCGATATTATCGCAGAGCCAGCAGTAAACTGTGACCTGCCGCGAAGAAATTTTTTGGCCGTTCGGGCACGTAGGGAAACAACACGTAGCCATTTTGGATTAAAAATACTTTATCCAGGTAAATTATAAATTGTTTTAATTTATTTGCGCGACGAAAGAGCCGATCAAAACAAATCATCCAATTGTTTTATAAACAATTGTTTAAGTTTCGCGGCTAACAGACCGATCAAAACAGAGAGCAAAGAGCGCGCAAATAAAAGATTTTATTTAAGCGCCTAAAGATAAGAAATTTGTGTTATTGATATTAGCTAGCGCCAACAACAACACAAGGCGATGCAGCGATAAGCGGTAAACACAATGCACAAGAATAGGAAGGCAATTGTAAAACCGAAATTGTTTTACGACGATAAAGTCACAGACTTTATTTAGAAAGGTCCGGTTGTTTATTGATTATGAAGTTCACAGAAGCACCGACCACTTTGCAAATATTTGGGCTTTGATAAATAAAATTTAAATATTCTTTTATTTGAGATTTAAACTGAGTTGCGGCCCTAATTGTCTTATATCTATGTGGCAGATTGTTCCACAGACGGATAGCATTAGTAAAGAATTGCCTATTTGAGCACAGCGAATTATATCTTGGGCATATATAATTATTCGTTCTAGTTGAGGTAGCAGATTTGAGTTTGTCAAACAAGTATGTTGGTTCTTGGGATATCACAATTTTGTGGAAATATAATAGAGTCCTATAGCGAATCCACGAGGTCAAGTTTAAGTCAAGAATTTTATTAGTCAAGTGTGATACATGGTCAAGTCGTTTTAGATTAAAGACATACCGTACAATTGAGTTCAAACCTATAGCCAGCTTGTGCATATCGCGTGTATCGCAGTGTCCAAATACTTCCACTCCATAGAACATAGTTGGTATTAAAATTACCCTGGCTACTAAAAGCCTTATTTGGATCGGGAGGAATGACTTGGAATATGACAGCTGCCTTAGCATACCGTATGTTCGCCCTGTAGCTTTGGATATATGTTTGCTCCAGCTAAGGGTGTTACTAAATGTAAATCCTAAATTTACTGCACTATGCTCAAATTGAATCAGCGTGCCATTGATTGCTAGATTTGGAATGTTCGTTGTATCAATCGGTTTTTTGGCAATTACTATACACTTTGATTTACTAGGATTTATACACAAGCCATTACCTTTTGCCCACTTATAAATTACATTAAGCATATTATTACTTACACTAACACAAACATTTAACTGCCTAATGGGACTGCTACATATATTTGCACATCGTCTGCATACAAGTGGACTTCACAATCAGACAAGAGACTGGGCAAATCATTCACATACATGGAAAACAATAATGGACCCAAGACTGATCCTTGAGGAACACCACGTGAGAGTTGGCAAAAGTCGGAAGTCCTAGCACCTACAACCACTGCTTGTAGCCTATCACAAAGATAGGATTCTATAAATCGAACTGCAGTACACGAGAAATTAAAGTGGTTTTTTAGTTTTGTACTTAAAATATGGTGATTGACAGAGTCAAATGCTTTACTATGGTCAAGAAGGGTCAAAAAAGTCACACAATTATTGTCAAGTTTTTGTCGAATGTCTTCCACGATAGATGTTGGCGTTTTTTCTGTATATTCTTGCCCCAATATGTCCCCAATTGTTACTATTTAATATAAACCGCCTACCTATACCTTATTTTAAAGATTTTGGATGCCTATAGACACTCTTCAAGGAATTTGCTCTTTGTTAGAGAAAAATCATTAGAAAAACTAAAATTCCTTGTCATTTAATTAATTCAGCCAAAATAGTTGGTAAATGCTCCATTTCAAATTTGCAACTGCCAATTCGACAGCCTTTGTTTACGTTTTCATGAGCCACAGCTGATCGATCAGCTGTTCGGATGCTAAATGCGCTTTAATGTTGTGTGGGAACACGAGTTTCACATTTGTGAAAAATCCCAAACATTCCTCACAAATGTGCTGTGTGGGAAGACAGTATAAGTCGAACAAAAGGGTATTGAACGGAACAGGCCAACAGCTGGGAGGTGACATGCAGAAAAGCAGTAACCGAGGGAAAAGAGTTAATTCAGAAACTTTATTTCAGCAGTGAGATACGACAGCAGAAATAACAAAAACGAAAGCCATTTTTGCATCATAAGAAAAAAAGGGAAAATTGGTTGAGTTTCAGGTAATATCACACAAAAAATATATTATCTATCGCCATGATTTTTGCTTTAAACAATAGACACATTCATAAACTGTAACCCAATCCGAAAAAAAGGAATTGTGTTTGGGCTTGCACAGATAAATCGCTACCTGCCAGGTGTCAATTTTTTCACTTTTTTCTGGCTTTTTTATATGAAATCAGATCTTACTTACAAAAGGAAAAAATAGTTTATAAATAATGCTATTTAATTTGATTACTTAAATGGTCGAAATTGACCAAATTATTAATTGAGACCACCGGAATTAAAGCCTAGTACTCTGACGACGAAAATCCGCTGTCTAATAGGGTCTCCCCACACAACGTTATAGCACATTCAACATCCGTTGAACAAACGGTCCATAAGGTTTTGCCGTTCCGAATTTTTGCAAATGGACCGCCGTTAGATCAACATTAAAATCTAAACACGGTTTTTTTGGCGATAGTTAGGCGATAGTTTTTCGGTGCAACTCTGATTCTTCTTCTTAATTTGACCATTCACCACGAAAATGAAAACAAACTTGGCGAGGAACAAATGAGATATTGAATTTAAAACGTTGCGCCAAAGCTACAAGCATGCCCAAAATATTTGTTGGCGTTTTTTCTGTATATTCTTGCCCCAATATGTCCCCAATTGTTACTTTTTAATATAAACCGCCTACCTCTACCTTATTTTAAAGATTTTGGATGGCTAGACACTCTTCGGGGAATTTGCTTTTTGTTAGAGAAAAATCATTAGAAAAACTAAAATTCCTTGTCATTTAATTCATTTAAATTTAGTGCGGATAAATTCTGACGCAATCTGTGCCTTTTGCTGTTGTACAACAGCCAAAATAGTTGGTAAATGCTCCATTTCAAATTTGCAACTGCCAATTCGACAGCCTTTGTTTACGTTTTCATGAGCCACAGCTGATCGATCAGCTGTTCGGATGTTGAATGTGCTTTGACGTTGTGTGGGAACACGAGTTTCACATTTGTGAAAAATCCCAAACGTTCCTAACAAATGTGCTGTGTGGGAAGACAGTATAAATTTTGACAGCGGCCAAACTCCAATGGCGTTGCCAGATCAAGATAGTAAACATCTGATATCCCGCTGTCTAAATAGTTCATTTGATTTATTTAGACACCCCTAATGGAGGGAAAGTTAAAGAAAAAAGTGGCTGTCAATGTGAAGCCCATAATATGGAATTTAACCCACAAAGGACATTTTAATGGCATATTTATTAATATTTTCAATATTTTTTTTGAATATTTGTTTACAAACAGCTGTCAGTGTGACCAAAGAAAAACCTTAAACGCCATAAAAAGTACATTTGGCGTTTTATTATTATTTTTTGGTCACAATGGTTCGGTAACGAATTTAGACAGCGGATTTTCGTCGTCAAAGTACTAGGCTTAAAACTGTAAAAAATGTGGCAGCATCTTAAATGACAAAACCGGAGCAGGTAAAAACGAAAACGGAAAAATTTTACGATTACCGGAGCAGGCCTGTATATCTTTTTTGGATGGGCTGAGCCACCTACTACACTATAACTACCTTTGTGAATCTATTCTGGACCAAAATCAACTTTCATCTGCTGCGTCGAGCTGCGTCTGCGGAAATGCAACAGCATAAACTAAAACTACTCAGAGTTAAATATACCAAAAAAACCGACACAATTTCATACAAACCAAAAAATAAAATAACTGTAGCGTGTGGCGGTTGCACTTTGAATTAAAAAAAATTGTTTTTTTCAGTTTTCAAATTACACAGGAACACAAAATTAAACTTTGTGAAATTTCCACGAACCATTTCAAGATGTCCATGATATTTGGGTGCTCCTGAGTAAAAGTCCCATACAAAATTATTTTCCATCACCTACAGGTTCCGCGGTATACCTAAGAATACAAAAAACCGATGTTTGCCGACATTTTGAATTACGTGGCCTATATAATAGGACTTACCTTTATTATTTTCGGTTGGACCTACTCTCAATACATCACGGCACTACTAAAAAATAGTCCCAATCGTGGACCATTGCCCATGTCTTTGGAATTCGACGCCAAAGTTGAAACTCCCAAAATTTTCAACATTTCTGTGATGAAAAAACAATTCTCAGAATTAAATCTTATATGGAACTAATTTTAAATATTCATTGAATCTATTGTTCATTGTATTCTTTAATTTCGGTTTAAAGCGTTTTCATGAGGACATTTTATTGGATTTATTAAATGAATAAAACCGCTTTTTTGGTTTGATTATCTACTACTATTTTCTGTCAAAATTCAAATAAGTCAAGGCAACCTATAGAATGGTAGTAAATATGTATCTTTTTATATATAATATAAATTTAGATTTGGACATGGGCAATGGTCCACGATTGGGACTATTTTTTAGTAGTGCCGTGATGTATTGAGAGTAGGTCCTACCGAAAATAATAAAGGTAAGTCCTATTATATAGGCCACGTAATTCAAAATGTCGGCAAACATCGGTTTTTTGTATTCTTAGGTATACCGCGGAACCTGTAGGTGATGGAAAATAATTTTGTATGGGACTTTTACTCAGGAGCACCCAAATATCATGGAAAACTTGAAATGGTTCGTGGAAATTTTTGGCTGTGTACCTGTGTTATTTTTATTTGAGCAAATACATAAAAATAAAGATAAAAACTCATTGTTTTCATAAAAAAAACCGAATTTTTCACTTTGATACCCTATTAAAAGGAAATGAGTAAGCGTGGCACATTTTCCAATAAATATGTAAATTTTACAACAAGTGGCATTATTTGCATTCAATTAATAACTTAAATTGCAGAATTGACGATAAAAATGGTTGCGACTTCAACCTAGACGGTGTGAATGGGATTGAGTACGGTTTTACGAAGTTCTTTTTATCCAGTTTAAGTTGGTATGTACTGCATTTTACAATTTGATTCAAAAATATGTATGTACATACTTATGTATTTAATTTACAGATAAAACAGGTTTCTTAAAGGACCCAGCAGCAGCGTGACCGCGCCGGACAGATCGAAATATACCATTTATTCCTCAAAAATATTCTAACGAAAGCCGCCCAAATAGAGCTTTCGATCCTCTAGCCAGTTGGCAACGCGAGCAGCTGCGCAATAAGGCACCGAACTCAAAACGAGCTAAGCTGCGCAATCCCGAGAATCTGACAGCCAGGATGCCTGGTCTCTCTGATTCTTCTCTTGTTCTTCGCCCGACTTCCTGAAAAACAACACGCCGGATCGGCGAAAATAAAGTCAAGGAAATAATGCCGAAATACTCGTGTGATCATTGGGTGGCTTAGACGGGGAAGTTGGCAGAGAGTTCTTGGCAGCCACACCTTCAAATAAAAGTTCCGCTCGGCTTTCTGTAGTGATCTCGGCCGGCACCTCCTACGCCCGGCCGAAATTCGTTACAATATACTAAAATATACTATGTCATATATCAAAATATACCACTAAAATACCATAAATAATGTCAGTTAATACGCCTGAATATTTGAACTTCATATACAGGTTAGGTTATTCCGGACGGCCCTCGAGGGGCCACACATAGGCCAATATGGCCCATAGCTATCCGGGGAAACTCCTGGATGGACCTAAAGACTATTTGTGTGGGTTTCGAGATTCTTGAATATCACGGTGTTTTTCGCAAAGGCAAGAAGTTCGCCTGGCTTCTTCCTGGAGGCATCTTCTAGCGATGCCAGAACTGGAGAGCCTAGGTATCTCAGTCTTGCCCTCGTTAGGGCCGGACATTTGCAAATGAGATGCTCCAAGGTTTCGGTTGCCTCGGATTCATCACATTTCCGGCATTTGGCGTTGTCGGTAATACCCAGCTTGTCCTTCTGCAGTCCTTCCGCGAAAGATGCAGCACGTAGTGCGAGTTTCTCGTTGTGCTCTTTACACATGATTTTTGATATTCTGCAGATTGCGGAATTACTCCTCCACCTGCTTTTTGCGCTTGCGTCAGCCCGTCTCTCTAGCTCGCTTTGGAGCGTAGGGAGATAGGGACGTTTTCTGCTCTTTCACTCGCTAGTCCGACGCCTTCGTCCGCGGTTTCGTTACCATCTATGCCTTGGTGGCTGGGAACCCAGTAGATCCTCACTGACTTAGTCGTGCTCAGACTATCTAGTGACTCCTTGCTTGCCAGTACATTTTTGGAACTGACCGCTGCTGATTGCATGGATCTTATCGCCGCTTGACTGTCTACGAACAAATTGACCGTCTCATGTGGACCGTTTATGCTCTGCGCAAGCTCTGCTGCTCTCCTTATGGCGAATACTTCCGCCTGGAATATACTGCAGTAGCTTGGTAGCTTATACGACAGCCTCATTTCAGGGTATGAACAGTATATGCCCGCTCCAACTCCTCCTTCCATCTTGGAGCCGTCGGTGTATATATTGAGGTATTGAGCAAGGTCCTGGCCTGACTTCCAGTCATTTGGTCTCATGAATACTGTTGTGTTTACATCCGGGCACGTTCTGGGTATCATGTAGTCAGATGTACTGCTCATGTCTCGACCAATTGAACTGTGACCGATACCTTGTAGCGACCAGTTTTCTGATGCAACCAGACGTTGTGCCGCCTTTCCTGCTGTCAGTTGCACTTGGATATCTAGGGGATATATGATATTATGGTTTCGGGTGCTTTGGGGGGGTGGTTGACCCCAGCGCCCCTGATATGCAGAGCAGTGCCTGCCGCTGGGTTCTGTGCATATGTAAGCTTATTATATGTTTTGTTCTCCATGGCTTGCCACCACACTAAGACTTCAGACAGCAGAGTCGGACGCACCACCGATATGTAGACCCAATGCATTAGAGCGGGTGAGAGGCCCCATGTGCTGCTAAGCATCTTCTTGGATGCATATAGCGCTATGGTGGCCTTTTTTACTCTACTACATTGGCCTTCTACGTCTGCTTGCTGTCAAGTACAATGACGAGGTATTTGACTTATGTTTTCGGGGTCAGCCTGGGTTGGTTAATTTTCGGGGGGATCCATTGCGGCACCTTGTATCTCTTGGTGAAGAGAATAAGGTCCGTCTTGTTCGCATTGATATTGAGTCCGCCACTCACATATCTCCCTGAGCGTTGTTTCCATGATCAAGCTGAGGGTCGATGGACAGACTCCCGTGATAATTATGCTTATGTCATCCTCATAAGCTGTTATCTTTGGTGCTTTCCTCTCGAATCTCTTGATACCACCAGATTCCATAGGAGGGGCGACAGAACCCCACCTTGCGGCGTGCCTCTGTGCGCTCCTCTCACCATGGAAGCGGTGCCCCAATCTGATTGTACCCGCCGGCAACTTAGAAGATTTTTTATCCACAAGTTGATAGCGGGGGACGAGTTGGTCGCTTCTAGGCGATCCATTATTGCGTCCGTGCTAACGTTGTTGAATGCCCCGGATATGTTCACGAACACTCCAAGTGCATATTCCGTAGTGTTTAGGGCTCTCTCAATGGTGGCTACCAACGAATGTAGTGCCGTCTCCACTGATTTCCTCTTCGTGTAGGTGTGCTTGTTGGTCGACAGTTGTCTTCCTACATCGTTCCTGATGTATGGGTCCAGCAGATTTTCCAGCGTTTTAGGTAGGAATGAGCTGAGGCTTATCGGTCTGTAATCCTTGGGGCTCACGTGGCTGCACTTTCCTGCTTTGGGCAGGACGACAATCCGAGAAGTCCTCCATTGGATAGGGATATAGCCCGTGCTTAAACAAGCTGAGCCATGGGGTGATCACTTCGTTGGTCGCCTGCAGCATGGCTAGAAATATTCCATCTAGTCCTGGTGCTTTTATCCTCGCAAAGGAGTCTATAGCCCAGTGGACTCTACTAGAGGATATTAGATCTTTTGGGAGATGCTCTTCTCCAGTTGCTAAGTCCTGGTGCTTATTCTCATCGGATACCTCAGTGCATCCTGGAAAATGCGCATGCATAAGTGCTGTTACGGCCTCTTCGCTGCCCTCAGTCGACTGTCCGTCGTCGCGTTTGAGCTGACTCTGTATGGTTCGCTGCTTCGATAGCAGCTTCCGGAGTCTAGCCGTTTCCGGGGCAGTCTCTATATTGGAGCAGAAGTTTCTCCATGAGTTTCTCTGCGCCTTGCGTATTTCCTTCTTGTAGTCCCTAAGTAGGACTTTGTATTCCTCATTGATGATGTCATCTTTCGCCTGCTTGGCGATTTTACAGAATTCTTTGAGTTTGTTGCGTCGGAGTGAAAGGTCCTTATTCCACCAGGGTGGCCTGGTCCTCTTTCTCGTGTCCGATATAGGGCATGATGCGTGGTACGCATCAAGCAGTTCTTTGGAGAGGCTCCTTAGGGACTTTTCTATGTGTTCCGTGGATTCTACTGTGCCCGGTGAGATCGCGAGCCGTGTCGCGATAGTCTCCTTGAACTTTCCCCAGTTAGTATTCCGGGGGTTCCTGAAGACTGATTGTTTTGGAGAGTATTCGAATGCGTATTGGAACCGTATGTACTTATGATCTGAGAATCTGAATTTCAGTTGCGAAGTTTCTAGCTTAAGTTGTAGCGTAGACCATGCAATGGTCTGTGTTGTACGACAACATATTGGTAGTTTTCGACTGATCAGCGGCGGCGGGACCCATAAAACGGTAGCTCATTCCGGGTGGGTAGGTTCTTGCTGACGTCTAAACTTGACACTACGAACTTTAAATTTAAGAGTCCCTCAACAAAACAATAAGCCTACTCAAAGACGAAAAGGTGGAATCGAAATCAAATTTAGTCTATGGATGTATGAGTAAGATCTTCAACGAACTGTAAGGGGGTGGTAGATGCTATATGTGTTCTTAACCCTCCCAACCATGTCTCTCCCTAACTGGGGAATGTTTAAGTCCCTTCTTTTTATTTAATTTATACCCCCATGTCTAAAATAAAACTTAGAAATGCATTGTTAATTCTATCCTCTGATTTGTTTTTATATTAATTTTCCTCATTTGTTACTTTTCTCCAATTCATCGTTTCCTAAATATTCATTTGTACAATTAAAGGTTTTTGTTTCTATTCATTAGGTTGTAATAATTTCCAAATTTACATGTCTTATTTAAGTTTTAAATTGTCAAATAATTTTTTATATCTACATGTTGGTTTTTAACTAATTATAATTGTTTATAAATGAATCCGCCCTAGTGTATACTGTTTAAAATGATTGTATTTATTTCCGAACAATTATATTTAATATTGTCGACCGCGCTGCGTTTGATTGCATTGAGAGCAAAAATGTGACTGATTAAGCTTTGGCTATGCACGTCATTCGATTATGCTAGTCGAAGACGTAAACAAGTTACAGTTAGGAGTTAGAAATGAATGGAAAAGTACTGGGCAGAAGCTCGCGCGCATGTGTAGCGATGCGCTGCTCGCTTAGCGACCGCTGATAAGGCCGCCGGCAGCGGCGATCAAAAGAAAGAGAGCGAAACCCAATACAGGGTGTCTCGTGCCCAAACATACCGGCCCCCTGAACGGTCGTTCAGCACAGAGGCAAGACAGCAATTTTGGTAATTGGGCGTTTGTAGGATCCATGGGCCGTCTTCACTGTTACGACCCGTACTTTGTCATCTGATCCTGCGTGCACCTCGCTGATGCGTCCAAAAATCCATTTAGAGGGAGGTAGATTAGGCTCCTTGAGTACAACCAGTGTGTCGATCTTCAGATTCTCAGTTTCTAGATGCCATTTTGTGCGTTCGTGAAGCGATGTCAGGTATTCCATATGCCACCGTTTCCAGAAACCTTGGACCATAGCTTGCAGCTGATTCCACCTCTCCAGTCGATTGATTTGCATATCCAGACGGCAGGGTTCAGAGAGGGCAGTATTAGGAGCTCCAGTCAGGAAATGAGCGGGAGTCAGCGGGTCCAACGAATTATCCCCATTTGGGCACAGTGGGCGAGAGTTGAGGATGGCTTCAATTTCGGTCAAAACAGTCGCTAGTTCCCCAAACGTAAGAGCCTTGGATCCAAGTATCCGTCGCATATGAAGTTTTATGGAACGAACGCCGGCTTCCCACATTCCGCCAATATGAGGGGCAGATGGGGGTATGAAGTGCCAAGAAATGCCTTCGTTGGCGAAGAATCCAGCCAATTCCTCATCTTTAGATTGTTCGATGACTAGGCGTCGCATGTCGTCCAAAGTTTGCTTTCCGCCATGAAATGTGGTTCCGTTGTCCGAGTACAGATCGGTGGGCTTTGTTCGTCGGGCAATAAATCGTTGAAAAGCGGCGATGAAGGCCTTTGCAGTCAGATCACTGACGACTTCGATATGGATTGCCTTTGTAGTTAGGCAGACAAAGATAGAGAACCATGCCTTTCCGATCCGTGGAGTTCGTCCTGTTGATTCCTTGATGGCGATCGGTCCAGCGTAATCCAGCCCTGTATGTTGGAAACAGCGACTAGCCTGAACTCGAGGGATTGGCAGCTCTCCCATGATCTGGTTACTGGTGCCTTTGCGTTGAAGAAAGCAGTGTTTGCATTGGAAAATTGCCTTTCTGACCAGATTGCGTGCACCCAGAATCCAGTACTGCTGACGAAGATTGGTGAACGTAGCATCAACTCCAGTGTGTAGATGTGAAACGTGAAAATGTCGAACCAGGAGTCCAGCTAGTGGTGAATCCTTTGGTATTAGGATTGGATGCTTGGCGTTGAAGTTGATTGTAGATTTGTCGATTCTTCCACCGACTCGCATAATTCCATGATCGTCCAGAAATGGGGAGAACCGAATTAAATGCGATTTAGCATTAAGCGGGCGTCGATTCTCTAGCTGCGCATATTCTCTGGCAAAGAAATTTTGTTGCACGTGTCGGATGAGTCGGCATCGTGCGGCCTGCAACTCTTCGGATGTAACGAATGGTGCCGGATTCCTATGACGAGATCGAAGAGAGTGAATAAAGCGATAACAGTAGCTTACCCTCCAGCCATGATGGACCCTTCCACCACAGTCGATGCTCCAGAAGCTTGAACGGATGAAGTCCTCGAGAAGCACAGTCGGCAGGGTTGTCCTCTGTGCGGACATGATTCCAGCAGCTGCGAGGAAAGTCGTTCAGGATCTCAGCCGTTCGGTTGCAGACGTATGTGTTCCAGTTTCGTGGGGGAACTGAAAGCTGATTAGCACAATTTCTGAATCTGTCCAGCAGCTCGTGCTGAAAATAGGAATCGTTAATGAGGCCTTGACAATCGAGAGCAATCGAGAGCAATCGAGAGAAATGGTCGGATCGCACTCCTTGAGATTGAGGTACATGACGTCCTTTCCGGGACTCCATTGGATGCCAAGAATTTTGATTGGTGAATCCGCAGCTGATTTGTTGAGGAGCTGGATAGGCTCATAACAGCGGTCCTCTTCTGGCAATGACTTTTGAAGACGCCAACTGTTGGAACTCCATTTCCGTAGTTTGAATTGCGCCTTATCCAACAGTTGAATCAGCTCGTTTTTGAGAATCATGAGCTCGTCGAATGAGTTGCACCCTGTTGGGATATCATCTACATAAGCGTCGTGTAGAAGCGCGTGCGCAGCAGCGGGGAACTCGTGGCGGTGATCCTCAGCTAGTTGCTTGAGAACTCGAACAGCCAGAAATGGGGACGGCGCCAATCCGTAGGTGACCGTCAACAGGCGAAAATGAAGCAGTGGTTCATTCTCGTTCTTGCGCCAAACAATGCGCTGAAAATTGGTGTGCGGCTTGAAGACTAGAATTCCTCGGAACATCTTCTCGATATCCGCGCAGAAAACATAGGGGTGCTGCCGGAAACGTAAACAAACGCCGAGAAGATCGCGTTGAATGGGCGGGCTAATTTGAAGTCGATCATTGAGAGACACTCCAGAGCTGTCTTTTCCCGATCCATCGAAAACTACGCGACACTTCGTAGTCAAACTGTCCAGTTTGATGACAGCGTGGTGCGGCAGATAGAAGCAGATTTCTGGGGACTCATCCATTTGAGCCGATGTCAGCTGTTCCATATGACCACGTCGCAAGTAGTCGTCCAGAAATGCTTCGTACTGCTGCTTCAAGTCTGGAGATCGACGAAACTTGCGTTCCAGCGAGTGGAAGCGATTGATGGCCTGCGGTAAAGTTGAATCAACAGGCGGCGCATTCTCCTTGAAGGGGTACTCGACGACGTAAACCCCGTTCTCCAAGCGCGTGTGGGTGGCAGCAAAATGACGCTCTGTGGGATCGTTGTCGTCCAAAAGAGCCTGGCTAGGCTGTATATTATCCATCTCCATGAAAGAACGAACCATCGTGTCTAGGTCCGCGTGATGAGTAACGGCTAAAGTCTGGTGATCATCGCATGCATTGTAAGAGCCTGCAATAATCCAACCAAAAACAGTATTCAGAGGGATAGGAGCGTCGTTACCAAAGCATTTTTGTTCTCCAGTATACAGAGACCAGAGTTGATCTGATCCAACGATGACATCGATGGATCCAGGCGTGCAGAATGTGGGATCTGCCAAAGGAAGCTCGCAGATTTGCTTCCACGTAGAAGATGAGGTGTCAATAGCCTGGGCCGGAAGTGATGATGTCAGCGAATTGAGAATAAACGAGACCAGTTCGACCGTTTGGTCCGAATGGCGAGAGCGCAGCTTGATATGTGCGCGTCCTCGGGTAACGCCAGCGCTGTTGGCTGCGAGACCGAGTACAGAAATCCGGGCGTGCGTTCGACGTACGCCTATTCGCTGGACAAATGATTCCGACGCCAAGGTGATTGTGGACCCAGTGTCCAAGAGCAGCCTGCAGGTTGTAGTATTTCCCCACGCGTCGACGACGTCTGCAAGGATAGTTGACAACAGAGTCTGCGAACCTGCAGCTGAAATATTCTCCAGCGTATGATGCGTGAAGCTATTTTCCGCGGGAGGTAAACTCCCTTATTCATGAATCTCTTGACCAGGCGGTTGATTCTGGCCGATTGTAGATGCCGCTTGTGAGGTTGATGGACGATCGCGGCTGTCCATACGGGCTCTCTCCAAGTAGTTACCATTTTGAGTTGGCTGCTCCGAGCCAGGGTGAACCAGGGTGTGATGCTTGCGGCGACAAATCCGACAAGTATGTCTCGATGTACAGTTACCCGCCATGTGACTTGGGCTGAGGCAATTGAAACATAGCTTTTTCGTCTTGAGAAACTCCCGGCGAGCTGCGATGTCGAGTCCGTTGAACTGAGGACACTTGAACAGTTGATGATTTTGCTGGCACGATGTGCATTTGGGTTCCTCTCGTCTAGGATGCGTATCTGCGTGGTGCGTTGTGGCTGCGCGTCGAGCTTGGGTTGGTCGCACTAAGTGAAAAGCCTCCAAAGTATCGCAACGAGAGGTGAGAAATTTAAGGAATTGGTTGATGGTCACACCTTTTCCCTCGGAGTCTGCGCACTGCGCCCAAGCTTGGCAAGTATCGGTATCCAATTTTGACAATAGGATGAAGATTAGCCAAGGATCCCTCTCTTCGCAGTCAAGGGCTCGCAAACCACGAATAACTTCATCTGCGCCATCGGCCAGTTTCCGCACTGTGCTGAGATTAGAAGACGTAGCACTGGGAAGGGTCATGAAACTGTTGAGGAATGATCGAATAATTAGCGATTGTTTGTTATATCGCTGCTCAAGCCGATCCCATGCCTCCCGATAGTTCTCATTAGTCACAGGAATATGTTTGACTAAATTAAGCGCGTCTCCGGATAGGTACGATTTGAGATAATGAAATCGTTGGCAATCCGTCAGGCTCGGATTAGAAGCAATCGAGTCCGTAAACATATCCGAAAAATGTTTCCAGTCCTCATAGTTCCCGGAAAAGGTTGGGAGTTTGATTCGCTCGAACTGGAAATCCACATTGCTTCTCTGGGGCGCATCCGCTGGTTGCACAGTGGCCAAAATATTGTTAGACGTTTGATCACGCCGTAACTCCTCCAGAGTGTTGCTTAGAATTGCGTGTGTAGCGTAATGTTTTTCCTCATAGGCATCAAAGTCGTCGTCCGGATTCTCCCAATCTGACTCCGATTGGAAGGCGTACAGCTCTTCCGAATGTCGCACAAACCGCAAATAATTGTCTTGGATTTGGGACAGGCGCACCACAATTGTATCCACTGATTGAATGTCATCCACAAATTTTAAGGCATTATTATGCGCCCGTGTGATTTGGCTTTTACAAAAGCCCCGTTGTTGAATCACACTCCGCATGGCGATCGCGAAAAGATAACGACTCTATACGATTTTGAAATCTATAGATCACCGTTGACAAAAACCTCAATAATTAAATTAATTGACCGAAAATAAACAGTTTTGGCGAATCCGGCTCGAAGGACCAGTTTTTGGAATGTTTATAAATGAATCCGCCCAAGTGTATACTGTTTAATATGATTGTATTTATTTCCGAACAATTACATTTAATATTGTCGACCGCGCTGCGTTTGATTGCATTGAGAGCAAAAATGTGACTGATTAAGCTTTGGCTATGCACGTCATTCGATTATGCTAGTCGAAGACGTAAACAAGTTACAGTTAGGAGTTAGAAATGAATGGAAAAGTACTGGGCAGAAGCTCGCGCGCATGTGTAGCGATGCGCTGCTCGCTTAGCGACCGCTGATAAGGCCGCCGGCAGCGGCGATCAAAAGAAAGAGAGCGAAACCCAATACAGGGTGTCTCGTTCCCAAACATACCGGCCCCCCTGAACGGTCGTTCAGCACAGAGGCAAGACAGCAATTTTGGTAATTGGGCGTTTGTAGGATCCATGGGCCGTCTTCACTGTTACGACCAGGGACCGTAAATAATGATTATCAATGTTTTCTTTAAACCAGTCATGCCCAGCCCATAGCTCTTTGTGCTCGCATTGTTTTTGTAATTGCTCTTTAGCATAGGCAGAGCAATCGCCGTATGCATGCACGGCTCACTCCATAAGCAAAGCAGATTACACAAACAATTTTGCGAATTCTCTTCATTCTCCACGTCTTCGTTGATCTCGGCAACAACACTTTCATAGGCTTCACCGTTATCTCGCTTGTCCGAATGTAAATTGTTGTTGGATCGCCGAAAAAAGTACATCGCGAAAAATCAGTTGTATTTTGCGTTGCGGGCAAGATGTTTGATATTGCAGAATCTAATTTTTTATTTTGTAAAAATTGCTATGGTGAGCCCCAATGCATTGTTAAAATGTATTTTCATGTATTTTTATTACTTTCGATATCTTAATTTGAATTTACTTTCATTTTTTTCAGTGCAGAAATTTGAAGTAAAAAAAAACTTTTGCGTAAATGTATTTGTGTTTTCATTTATGTGTATTGGTGCGTTGCTCTGCCATAAGCAACGTTTGGGCACCCCTGCTTTAAACAAAAAAATCATGCACTTGGAAAAGTCGCACAAAGAAACGAATTATACCAATCGGCTACAATTTGGATGCTCTATCGAGATTGCTGAAATCTAGATTTTTTATATAATAAACCAATTTTAATTATTAATTTTTGAGTTTTATTTACTCGCTCAAAGAATAATAATTATTATTTTGAGCGAAAAAATTTCGATCAAAAAATAATGATCATTTTTTGAGCGATATTTTTTCGCTCAGAATTTCGCTCAATGTGTAATAACTTTTTTCTGCGAGGTTTCTTCGAAAAAATTTTTACATGCTTATATGAATCGAAAACAGACGAACCCAAAAATCTCATTTTTAAATAAAAAAAAATTTCTTTAAATACTTTTTTTTTTTTAATTTTACTCATTTTATAATATTAATTTATATTTTTAATTTTACTTATTATTATTTTGCATATAAGTGTACCTATTTTAATGCTCATCATTGTCTTGTTTACAACATAAATGCCCAAAGCTCTAGCAAAAACAGTTCGATTTCGCCCAAAACGAAATCGAAAAAATTTTACGGTTACCGGAGCAGGCCTGTATGTTTTGGCAGTTGATGCAGTTAAACTTTACAAGCAACCGCTCGCTAATCGTACTCGCTTAAAAAATTGCAAATAATAAAAAAATGGGTCGTAAACGTAGTTATGTTTCGCGGAGTTTTTTTGATTTCGACGTGGGACAAAACTTATCGAAGTGCAAAGTATGCAATAAGACATTTTCCGGAAACTATAATTGCAATCTGGAACGGCATTTAAAATCCAAGCACAACGAAATATATCAATCTGAATTGGCCCAGCAAGAGGAAGAGGATATTCCGGGAAAACTTATAAAGTTTTCTTCGACTATGAGTCAAAGTGCCGTGAAAGAGGCTTGCGTTGATCTGGTGACGGTCGAGAAAATGCCATTTGCTATTTTAGATTGCAAAGCATTTAAAACTTTGACTGCGCAAATTTTTTCCGGTCTGAATATGCCAGCTGTGAATTCCAGGAACGTTATGGATGTTGTTTCGAAAAAATGTGCCAAAATAAAAGACAAAATTACGAGTCTTTTAAAAGGCAAAATAATTTCATTAAAAATGGATACAGCCACTCGATGTAATCGAGGTATTCTGGGAGTCAATGCGCAATTTTATAATGGCAGTGAAATTGTTGTTTTTACTTTGGGCCTTATAGAGCTTAATAAAAAACATACGAGCCAAAATTTGTGTGCTGAGGTTACATACCTCTTAAATAGCTTTGGCATTACCAAAGACCAAATATATACCGTCACAACAGACAACGGACGTAACATGGTAAAGGCCGTTGAGCTCTTAAGCCAGTCGGTTGAAGCAGATGACCTTGATCAGTCTTCTGATGACTTGGCGGATGAAGACGATCAATGGTTAGATGATGAAAATCTTCTGAAGGGCTTACGCATTCACAGCATCCAAGCTGTTAAATGTGCTGCGCACACTTTACAACTCGCTATTAAGGACTTCTTTAAGGAGCTTGAGTCGCTTGAAGTAATTGACAAAGCCCGTAAGACCGTAAAAAACTTTAAGGACGCCTGCATACAAGCCTTTAATTATTGAAAAGACTCTGCCATACCCTCAATTAGATGTCCCTACGCGCTGGAACTCATCATATTCGATACTCAAGAATTTGTTGAGTTTTGAAGAGTTTTGTGAAGAGCATTGGGACCCTAATCTAAAGCTCACAGACACCGAATAGGAAGATCTAAAAGGGCTAGTTGAAGTTCTAGAGCCAGCTTTCATTGCCACACAGAAATTGCAGAGCACACAACTATATATGGGTGACTTCTACAATCTGTGGTTAGGGCTAAAACTTACTGTTGGGGCTGTAAAGCAGAAAAATGGCAGTATTCTAAAGTCGTGCATCGAATCTCGAGAGGCATCTCTTATAGAAAACAACGTTGTCGTCTGCAGTTTATATTTGGACCCTCGAATAAGAAGGGTTTTGCTTAAGAATCCTATCAGTTTGATGCAGGCCAGAGCTCAACTGAAGCTTTTAATAGTTCGAATTCTGAAGATGGATTCGCAGGTAATTATATTTCAACATTATATTTATTCCGTTAATTTTTTGATGACAATTCTGAACTTCTTTGTTCATAGGAGGCACCGCGGTATTTTGATAGTCCTGGGCCATCATCAAGTCAGCAATGGCCAGTCCAAAGTCTGCAATCGATTGAGGAATCGAATACCTGTTCGCTGGTAACTGACTTCCTTAATTCCATTGAGGTTGCATCAGGGGACGAAGACTCAGAAGACAGCCATAGTGAACTGATAAAGGCTGCCAAGCTAGAGATTGACAACTACAATCCAAAGCAAGTTGACTTGAATATGGATATTATGGAGTATTGGGAGACTAAAAAATTTACCTTACCATATTTGTTTATGCTGGCAAAAGTTGTTCACGCCAAGTCAGCGTTCAACTCAAGTCAGCGTGGAAAGGTCATTTTCGGCTCTTAAATTGATGCTGACCGATTTAAGAAGCAATCTTTCTGCAGATTCA